AGACAGGTGTAGGCATACAAGGTGTGATACACTGCAGACAAATGTGGGTATACAGAGTGATACACAGACAGGTGTAGGCATACAGTGCAATACACAGACAGGTGTAGGTATACAGTGCAATACACAGACAGGTGTAGGTATACAAGGTGTGATACACAGACAGGTGTGGGTATACAGAGTGATACACAGACAGGTGTAGGTATACAGAGTGATACACAGACAGGTGTAATAAGTATACAGTGCAATACAGGGACAGGTGTTGGTATACAAGGTGTGATACACACACAAGTATAGGTATGCAAGGTGTGATACACAGACAAGTGTATGTATGCAGTGTGATACACAGATAGGTGTAGGTATACAAGGTGTGATACACAGACAAGTGTAGGTATACAGTATGATACACAGACAGGTGTAGGTATACATGGTGTGATACACAGACAGGTATACCAGTGTAGGTATACATGGTGTGATACACAGACAGGTGTAGGTAAACAGCTTGGACAGTTGTAGGTATACAAGGTGTGATACACAGACAGGTGTGGGTATACAGAGTGATACACAGACAATTGTAGGTATACAATGTGATACACAGACAGGTGTAAGTATACAGTGCAATACACAGACAGGTGTAGGTTTACAAGGTGTGATACACAGACAGAAGTAGGTATACAAGGTGTGATACACAGACAGGTGTAGGTATACAAGGTGTGATACACAGACAGGTGTGGTGTAGGTATACAGAGTGATACACAGACAGGTGTAGGTATACAAGTTGTGATACACAGACAGGTGTGGGTATACAGATTGATACACAAACAGGTGTAGGTATACAAGGTGTGATACACAGACAGGTGTAGGTATACAGATTGATACACAGACAGGTGTAGGTATACAAGGTGTGATACACAGACAGGTGTAGGTATACAAGGTGTGATACACAGACAGGTGTAGGTATACAAGGTGTGATACACAGACAGGTGTAGGGTTACAGATTGATACACAGACAGGTGTAGGTATACAAGGTGTGATACACAGACAGGTGTAGGTATACAGAGTGATACACAGACAGGTGTAGGTATACAAGTTGTGATACACTGCAGACAAATGTGGGTATACAGAGTGATACACAGACAGGTGTAGGTATACAAGTTGTGATACACAGACAGGTGTAGGTATACAAGTTGTGATACACTGCAGACAAATGTGGGTATACAGAGTGATACACAGACAGGTGTAGGTATACAAGTTGTGATACACAGACAGGTGTAGGTATACAAGTTGTGATACACTGCAGACAAATGTGGGTATACAGAGTGATACACAGACAGGTGTAGGTATACAAGTTGTGATACACTGCAGACAAATGTGGGTATACAGAGTGATACACAGACAGGTGTAGGTATACAAGTTGTGATACACTGCAGACAAATGTGGGTATACAGAGTGATACACAGACAGGTGTAGGTATACAAGTTGTGATACACTGCAGACAAATGTGGGTATACAGAGTGATACACAGACAGGTGTAGGTATACAAGTTGTGATACACTGCAGACAAATGTGGGTATACAGAGTGATACACAGACAGGTGTAGGTATACAAGTTGTGATACACTGCAGACAAATGTGGGTATACAGAGTGATACACAGACAGGTGTAGGTATACAAGTTGTGATACACTGCAGACAAATGTGGGTATACAGAGTGATACACAGACAGGTGTAGGTATACAAGTTGTGATACACTGCAGACAAATGTGGGTATACAGAGTGATACACAGACAGGTGTAGGTATACAAGTTGTGATACACTGCAGACAAATGTGGGTATACAGAGTGATACACAGACAGGTGTAGGTATACAAGTTGTGATACACTGCAGACAAATGTGGGTATACAGAGTGATACACAGACAGGTGTAGGTATACAAGTTGTGATACACTGCAGACAAATGTGGGTATACAGAGTGATACACAGACAGGTGTAGGTATACAAGTTGTGATACACTGCAGACAAATGTGGGTATACAGAGTGATACACAGACAGGTGTAGGTATACAAGTTGTGATACACTGCAGACAAATGTGGGTATACAGAGTGATACACAGACAGGTGTAGGTATACAAGTTGTGATACACTGCAGACAAATGTGGGTATACAGAGTGATACACAGACAGGTGTAGGTATACAAGTTGTGATACACAGCAGACAAATGTGGGTATACAGAGTGATACACAGACAGGTGTAGGTATACAAGTTGTGATACACAGACAGGTGTAGGTATACAAGTTGTGATACACTGCAGACAAATGTGGGTATACAGAGTGATACACAGACAGGTGTAGGTATACAAGTTGTGATACACTGCAGACAAATGTGGGTATACAGAGTGATACACAGACAGGTGTAGGTATACAAGTTGTGATACACTGCAGACAAATGTGGGTATACAGAGTGATACACAGACAGGTGTAGGTATACAAGTTGTGATACACTGCAGACAAATGTGGGTATACAGAGTGATACACAGACAGGTGTAGGTATACAAGGTGTGATACACAGACAGGTGTAGGTATACAAGGTGTGATACACAGACAGGTGAAGGTATACAAGGTGTGATACACAGACAGGTATAGGTATACAAGGTGTGATACACAGACAGGTGTAGGTATACAAGGTGTGATACAAAGACAGGTGAAGGTATACAAGGTGTGATACACAGACAGGTGTAGGTATACAAGGTTTGATACACGGACATGTGTAGGTATACAAGGTGTGATACACAGACAGGTGTAGGTATACAAGGTTTGATACACAGACATGTGTAGGTATACAAGGTGTAATACACAGACAGGTGTAGGTATACAAGGTGTGATACACAGACAGGTGTAAGGTTACAGTGCAATACACAGACAGGTGTAGGTATACAAGGTGTAATACACAGACAAGTGTAGGTATACAAGGTGTGATACACAAACAGGTGTAGGTATACAGAGTGATACACAGAAAGGTGTAGGTATACAGTGCAATACACAGACAGGTGTACATGTAGGTATACAGTGTGATACACAAACAGGTGTTAAAAAGCTAGGTGAAACAGAAGTGTTTAGAGGCTTGTTGTTGTAAAAAGTGATACACGATGGGACTTGTCTTTAATCTCTGCTGTTGTTACTTGATGATTTCTGTTGTGATAAAGAGTGTGAGGTAAGTTATGCCGTTTCCACCAGCAAACATGTATGTGAAAGTCTGTGTTTTATCTTGTCTTAAACATACTGTTCTATGTATCGCCAACCCTCATAATAATGCTAAAAAAATGCTGAAACATGATTGTAGTAATAAACTATTTTACTGTATTTATCTTGTATCTTTCCATTTGGATATTGTTGGTGATCTCGATTTTTAAGATTGATTTAAAAATTCTTAAAAATTAAGTGAAATTCTATCTTACAGACGTTGCATAGATAATTTAAGCAGACGTCTCCGCAACCACACTTCTTACCTGTGTATTTAATTACTGTACTTTGCACTATATGAATGTGTTTATTGTGTATTTGTGGGACTGTATACAGCGCTAGGGGCTACATATACTTTAATATTTCTCTGACAGTTCATCGATCACGATGCATTGTTTGTCAAACATATGAATGTAAATACGTAATATACAAATGTTGATTCGATTATTTATTAAGGTACATAAGTTTGGCTAATATTGATATATGCACCCTGGCTTTATGTGCAAATATAGACTGGCTACTGGAAAAGGTTATCGATTATTAGGATGCATGAAATACAATATAGAAAATAAAAGAAAAATATGTTTGTTTCGTCAACCCAGGAAATATTAGTGTGTACCATTATACAAGACCAAAAATAGATCTGTTTATCAAGGTATATTGTGTGGGGCTGTTTTTACATTCATTACTCTGGTGTACAGTGTAGGTATACCTGTGATTAAAGGTGAAACCAATATTGATAGACATGTACATATGTAAGGTGCCTTTATTAAAGATAAACGCTTTATATGTTACCACTGTACATCTAGGTGTATTTTACTTTAATTGTACAGCGTGTTAATGTAAACGTACCTGCAGACCTTAAATGTTCCAATTTGTGTTAAAATCTTGTTTTTTTTCTCTCATATAATTATACACGTAGGTGTTCTTGTATAGATATATCAAGTGTACTGTGTACTGTGAGTGAGTCATTCACCGTTACATATGTAGACTTACAGTTTAATTAGAATTAAAACACAACATCTGTTATTATGACAGGTTCATATAGGAAATAGCAAATGGTAGTGTAACATACGCCCATTAATGTATCCAATATAATGTACACACATATATGAAGCATCATCTGTATCAGATGTCTTCCTTGTCTATTTATAAAATAGTAAACATCAGTGTATATGGCTGATGACTTCACAGTGAATTTAATATTAATTAAGACCATGTGGTTCCTTACAGGGAAATATATATATCTTCGTGTTATCAAGCATTTTAAGTCCATGGTCATGGTCACAGCCATCACTAAACTGATCGTTCAAATGCATATAAGCCTCATTTATCCAGCCTACACTAATCTAGTTGTCCCACTATCTCTGATCTACAGCTAATCTGGTTGTCATATTTTCCATCCTCAGTTATCCAGCAACCCGTAATCTGCTTGTCCCACTAAAGCTATCCAGCTACCACTAGTATTTTTGTCCCACTATCCAGCTTCTTTAATCCACCTACTTCTATACATGGTTATCCGATTATCGAACAATCACTAAAGTGGTTGTCCCACATTTCATCCACCACTTCTCTGTCCCACTGAGAATATCCTTAATGACAAGAAAGTACTAAAGACTTGTTGTGGAGATTGTTTCTTTTTCTATTATATGTATGATCTGTTACAAGATGTCTGTTGCTATGTATGCATAAGTTGATGTGGTATTATGATGGTTTAATTTTGTTAAAATCTTTGTTGTTATCTTATTCTACATTTTCTTCCTTTTAGATATGAGTGACAAAGATGAAAACTGACCCGTCACATTTTGTGTTAGGTATGATTGAGAATGCTGAGTGACCTGCAAGAATGACCTTTAACTGACATCGGTGATATCAGTGGTTGTGCACCATTCGGCTTCACCATGGGAGTCAACTCCTCCTTTCCGGAGAGTTCCCAGCAGGTGGCTCGAGCCGCCTTCTCTAGACTTGCTCATGCCTATACAGTATCTGATACAGATATAAATGTTCGCGAAAAGAAGAAAAAAGCCTCAAAGTTTGCAACATTACGGAAGAAACTAACGAGAGCTCGGCGACACAGCCGATCTCTGGATTACGGAAAGGCATTGCGTGACCTCACTTCATCCTGGTCCCTGGCTGAAGTCAAGGCTCTGATACAGGAGTACGAAGCGTTGGCTTCTCTGAAGGAGGTGGCTCTGGCAGCCAATCTTGCTAGACCTCCAGCCAGTTCCTTCCGTCAGGATTTGACAAACTTGTTCGATAAAAAGTTCTCTTCAGATGTCGACCTTGTGTATCGAGGGGCATGTTTTCCGGCCCACCGGGCGCTCTTGTCCATGAGGAGTCCGTACTTCAGAAACCTGTTGAGTAGGTATCCAGACTTTAATATGCAGGTTCCCATCAACTTCAGAACAGCAGGAGTCGATGTGACCTTGTTCGCGTCGCTTCTACGTTACCTGTATACTGACTCCATAAAGACAGAGGATTTAAAACACGAACACAAAAAAGTGCTAATAAAGCTGGTAGAGGAGTTTGGAATGCCGAATCCTCTAGAACAGGACTTACGGAATCTGTTAGACACTGGTGACTATAGGGATGCTGTGCTAGTATTTTCCTGCGACTTAGTGGCAGACATGCCTGATCCAATGTCTGTATCGATGACTGAGTCATACACTAGCAATGACTTTCCTTGCAAAACGACCCAGCATGAACTCTACTGCCATAAAGCTATACTGGCTGCTCGGTCACCATCCTTTAGGAACCTTCTACTGAGGAGAGCTCGGTCAGGGGAGGAAATCACTGACCGTACTTTACATACACCTACTAGAATTGTGTTGGACGAATCGGTCATTCCTAGGCGTTATGCGAGAGTGTTATTGAATGCAATATATCAGGACACGGTAGATTTGTCGTTAATACTACGGGGAAGTGCAAGTATGTGTAGTCTGAGCGAGGCTCAAGCAATCGTGGCAGGCAAGGGACAGATGACCATAGTAGATGAGGCCATGGAGGTGTACCAAATAGGGCAGTTCCTTGACTTCCCAATCTTGTCACAGGGTAAGTAGAAAATAAGGCCATCTTTTTATCTTTATCTAATAATGAAATATAATGTTGAACCCAGTAAAATTTTGTTACATATATGTACTACTGACTAAGAAAGTATATCTCATAAGTCCTGTCTGCTTGTAAAATTGTAGCTGCGGAACCGTAGCTTCTAGGCCCAATCTTTAAAAAACCCCAAAAAAGGATCGGATCGGGCCTAGAAACTTCGGTTCCCGCAGCTAGTAAAATTATAAAAAGTGGTGCCATTTTAAACAACTGAAAATGCATTGTACTATAATTATATAATTAATGTAAAGTCTTGGTGATTCCTAAATGTATATTTCCTAATAACATTGAAATTTTGTTCTTAATTTGAAAGATAAAACTAAAAAATAAATAAAAAAAAGGGCAAAACACTATTACATTTTCCTAAGATTTTGCATAGCGATTTTGTAACTATGAGGACTCGGAAAAAATCATGTATTCTTTAGAAAAGTAAGAAAAACAGGTAGAGTTCATTTTACCTAACTTTGATCCAGAGAAAGCCATGTTCCCCAGTTTCCCAAAAAAATAAAGTGTAATGTTTTAATGAACAGGTTGTGAAGACATCATAGTGGAAAATATTGGCATAGACAATCTGATCAACATCCTCAACTGGAGTTCTGAGCCCCACGGTTCCCAGTGGGTCCACCGCCAGGCACTGCACTACCTGAGGGAGGAGTTCCTACAAGTCATTCACTCACCTGTTCTTCTGGATCTCAGTAAAGAGTACCTAATAGAGGCACTGAGTTCAGACTTCCTACAGGTAAATCACTCGGTTCAGACTTCCTCCAGGTAAATCTTCAGTGTTGAGTACCTGATAATTATATATATATAATGGCACTCAGTTCAGACTTCCTACAGGTAAATCACTCAGTTCAGACTTCCTACAGGGAAATCTTCAGTGTTGAGTATCTGATAGAGACATTCAGTTCAGACTTCATACAGGTAAATCATTCAGATCAGACTTCCTACAGGTAAAACTTCAGTGTGGAGGACCTGATAGACATTCAGTTCAGACTTCATACAGGTAAATCATTCAGATCAGACTTCCTACAGGTAAAACTTCAGTGAGGAGTACCTGATAGACATTCAGTTCAGACTTCATACAGGTAAATCATTCAGATCAGACTTCCTACAGGTAAAACTTCAGTGTGGAGGACCTGATAGACATTCAGTTCAGACTTCATACAGGTAAATCATTCAGATCAGACTTCCTACAGGTAAAACTTCAGCGTTGAGTACCTGATAGACATTCAGTTCAGTCTTCCTACAGGTAAATCACTCAGTTCAGACCTCCTACAGGTAAATCACTCAGTTCAGACCTCCTACAGGTAAATCACTCACTTTCTACAGGTAAATCTTCAGTGTTTAGTACCAGAAAGAGGCACTCAGTTCAGACTTACTACAGGTAAATCTTCAGTGTTGAGTATCTGATAGAGACATTCAGTTCAGACTTCATACAGGTAAATCATTCAGATCAGACTTCCTACAGGTAAAACTTCAGTGTGGAGGACCTGATAGACATTCAGTTCAGACTTCATACAGGTAAATCTTCAGTGTTTAGTACCAGATGGAGGCACTCAGTTCAGACTTCCTACAGGTAAATCCCTCGGTTCAGACTTCCTACAGGTAAATATTCAGTGTTGAGTACCTGATAGAGACATCCAGTTCAGACTTCCTACAGGAAAATCACTCGGTTCAGACTTCCTACAGGTAAAACTTCAGCGTTGAGTACCTGATAGAGGCACTCGGTTTAGACTTCCTCCAGGTAAATCTTCAGTGTTGAGTTCCTGATAGAGACATTCAGTTCAGACTTCATACAGGTAAATCATTCAGATCAGACTTCCTACAGGTAAAACTTCAGCGTTGAGTACCTGATAGAGGCACTCAGTTCAGACTTCCTACAGGTTAATCTTCAGTGTTGAGTACCTGATAGAGACATCCAGTTCAGACTTCCTACAGGTAAATCTTCAGTGTTGATTACCTGATAGAGGCACTCAGTTCAGACTTCCTACAGGGAAATCTTCAGTGTTGGGTACCTGATAGAGACATTCAGTTCAGACTTCCTACAGGTAAATCTGCAGTGTTGAGTACCTGATAGAGACATTCAGTTCAGACTTCCTACAGGTAAATCACTCAGTTCAGAGTTCCTACAGGTAAATCTTCAGTGTTGAGTACCTGATAGAGACATTCAGTTCAGACTTCATACAGGTAAATCTTCCATATTAAATGTTAAAGTTTTTCCTTTGAAGCATATTTTACAGACATTTTGCCTAAATAGCCTGTTGTGGAGGACACATAGTGTTCAATTATACAAACAAATGACTCAGTTGTCAAAAAATGTCACAAGATTTATTTTTTATTTTTCAATTTTAAAATGACAATCCCAATTACTTGTGGATTCAACAGCAAAACAGGTGTTTAAGGCAGAAGAATTAGTTTAAATGTTGACATCTGTGTTTTAGGCAGGAGAATTGGATGTCCTAACAGCCGTCCTGAAGTGGGGAGAACATCAGCTGATTCGCCGTATAGAGGAGAGAGGTACAGCGTCCAGTTACTTAGTTCAGATGTACTGTACAGGTATCGGCCTGTATAACATCTGTACATAGGACACTGTTTGTATTGCATTCTCCAAATAACATAGAGAGTTGATCCATCATCTGGTGTCATTGACTTTGATAACAAATATTAGTTTTTTGCTGTAGTTGTTGGTGAATGCAACCAAAATAACCAGAACCTCCTATACATGCCCTTAAAGAAATTGATCTTTTAGTTAATTGCATTTTGTACTTTGTAGGTGTGAGTCATGTCATTACTGTAATGTGCCTAAAAAAACCTGCACAATGCAAACTTACTTTAATTTTTGTCTGGTAAAACCATTACAAACACTGTAATGTACATTGTATATATGTCATTGATGTATCTAATGTATGACAGATTGTATGTACATTTCTTTCCAGAACCCAACTTACTGAGTCACACCACTCACAGTATAAGCAAGAAAGGTGTCAAGAAGAGAGATTTAAATGACATAGAACTGAGGGACATCTTGGCAGAGTTACTTCCCCTGATTCGTGTCGACCATATCATTCCTTATAATTGTGAAGTACTTAATAGTGCAATAAAGCGGGGTTTGGTGAGCACGCCTCCCTCCCACATGTTGGGAGACGAGGCGACGGGGGGACAGAGAGTTTGTGCCTGGATCAGAAGTAAACACAATGGCATGTTTATGAGACCGCGCATCTTCACACCCTACTTTGAAGAAGCTAAGGTACTAAAAAATTCAAGTTGCTCTTGATTTCTCGAAAAAACACCCTTTAATTCAGATTTCATTTATCTCATAGCTCAGACTGAATTTGCTTCAAGTTCAGACTCCAACTTTATTTGCTTCAAGTTCAGACTCCAGTTGTCTTATAGCCCAGACTAAATTGTTAAATTTATATGTAGGACAATCTTACTTTTGTAACATAATTTTTTTTATTTGCTATTGAATATTGGATTTTCAGTTATTTACTTTTCATAAAATATTGATGAAAAGAGTCTTAAAAGTAAAATAGTTATCGCTAACAAAACTTTTTTTTTAAACTTGAGAAATGTAAGGAATGTTATAAGGAATTGATTTAATATTATCTGATTATTTGAAACATAGATGAAAATAATGTTGTTTTGAATTTTGTTCCACAGTCCATGCGGGATGAGTTTCTGTCGCAGGGCCAGGACTCGGACACTGGACGAGTACGGACAATCCAGATGTCAGCCATCCCCGACACACTGTACATGGTGGACGAAACACACTATCCTCAGGCCTCTGGTTACCAGGGCTTGACCAGTAGTTCAACGGTTGACATAATCGCAGGCACCATTCCAGGTAGGAGTATTGGCCCTATAATATATCAATGGGAAGGATATGAAAAATTTATATCTCAAACATACCTTCATTTGAGTCTTTACTTTCACTACCTTGTCTTATAGTGTTATGAAAGAATAATATTTGGGTGAAAAAAAATACTTTCATACCAATAATTAGATATTATTGGATTACAAAATGCTATAATTTCAACTTTATCACAACCAAGGAGATTAGAAATAATATCCCACACCCTACATGATCCTATATATAACAGGTAAAAATCGTATGGGAGACAACTTTGGCATCTGTTAATTAAGTGTTAAAGTTAGCAAATGTTTACTTATAGGGGCTTTGTTTTACATCTTAATGCTTATGTTGAGAAACACTTTTTGGTGCAAGAGAAATCCAGACTCATAAAACTTTCCTCAATACAATACTGTAAGAAGAAAATTTAGGGAAGACAATTTCAAGACGTTTTACGCTTCAAAAAATTCAGATGTGAATATTTTGTGTCGAAATTGCAGAGTTTTAATATTAAACACTCCATTGTTAAAATATCAATAATTTTGTCACAAAACATCCTTTAAATATGTAGGTATGATTAATGGTTGAAAAATAAACCGTATAAAATATAATGAGTATTAATTAATTGGTGAAAAATTGGGTTTTGGGCATTGCATTATTTTGTTTTCAATATTGCACTTTTTTTGAGACAGAGGGAAATGACCCTTCTCTAATTACCCCCCCCCCCAGGTGGCAACAACAAACACCCATAGGCTGTTCACAACGCACCGGCCTGCACCAGTGACTGTTTAATTATTAATAATAATTTCAAACAACATTTTACAACAATTTGTCATGTATATTTTATCCTACACATCTACAATGTATCTCCTAGACATTTACCACTATTTTTTCAGAAAAATAAAATTTTCTATACCTCCGTCCTGACCCGTGCGTTGACCTGAACTGAGGTCCCAGCAACACTTGCTGCACGTGCTACACATGCCCTACAGGTGTCGCCACCTATCGGGGTACCATTAGAGAAAACAATTTCGCGCTAATTCCTTGTAGTCAACCGCGCAAAATATAAATTCCTTTCCTATTTTCAACTTTTTGTGTGCAGTTATCTCCCTTGGACTGCTGTGACAAGGTTTTAGTACAAGTCTTTTCTGATAGAAATTTTCAAAGAGCAAAAGTTATTTTATAATTAGTATAACCAGTTCCCGTCACCCTTTAGAAGACTATGCCAGTTATCTTTCCTTGGTGACTTAAGGGATCACCAGAACATATTACTCAGTAGCCTTACCCTAGTTTATTTTGCACTCTTAAAAGTGGTTTGCTTGAGATATATTTTATGAAAGAAATGAAAACAGATGTTATAATTTATTTTATAGAGACATTATTGGACAGTTTAAGTCTAAATATAAAATTACTTAAATAGAAGCCTGGACAGTTGAGTTGGGACTAGCATATCAAATCCCCATTGTTCCCTATTTAGTGATTGGATTTCATTATGGAACAGCTGTGTTACTGGAACACATTTGAATAGAAAAGGGAAATTTGTCCCCGAAACACTGGCTATTTAGTAGAACTGTCAGATCAGTGATCGTGGTAGATTTAGCGATTATATTGTACACATCCTGGGATTGCATTTTCATCAAGAAACAATTTTTTTTCAGTACCAGACTCCAACACCTTAAAGCTGATGCTTCAGAGAGAACAGGAGCTCCAGAGCAGCAAGTTATGTCAGCGTGCAACCAGTCTGGCTTACAGCGACAGACGTGCCATCAACTGCCAGCTTCAACTCAGGACAGTACGGGAGTTTGGTCTACCAGACATCACCATTGAAATATTACAGAACAGTCAAAGGTATTACTCTAATAGTGAGTCTGTGCCGGCATCACTGCAGCTAAGACAAGGTCGGCGTTATCACTCCTCCCCAGTTCGGCGGAAAAACAGTCCACCGCTGAGCCGCCACAGCAGCAAGATGGGAAGCCCTACCAAGCCTGTAGTGTCTGTTACTTCCAGCCGCACCCAGCCCAGCAGGTCAAAAGAGGTATAGCTTATTATAAGACACATCTGTCATTGTCTATTAAACTTAGCATCCAAAGAACTTATGTTTACATAAATGATAGCATAATCATTGGAAATTCAAAAAGTACATGATAAAGTCCAGAAAACAGGAGTAATGCATTCTCAAGAGAATCATGCAGTTTTCTAGATGATAATATCTGAATGTTGTGGAAGAAAAACGTCACAAAGGTTGTAATGGTTGATTATCATGACTCTCAAAAACCATGTCTTTATACAGTTTGAAAATTAACTAACTCGAGTGAGATAAACATGATAACCAACAGTTAATCGTTGGGAAACCTCTATTTACCAGTAATAATCAAAACCAAAACAAGTTGTTTGACCACACGACCAAGCCCAACGATGATGGAAACGTGTAAATATTGGCTAGGAAAATCTGGAGATATATTTTTTACCTTTTTCAATCTTATCGTTTTTTTTTTAATAATCCTGGAAATTGTTATTTGTTATTTCAGTATTTTTAGGACTTAAAAATGTATCGGCTTATGAGGTTCAACGGTATTCATATTTGAGAATTAAAATGTTACGATTTGTTTTCCAGTCCAACACCAGTCCTTGTAGTGACAGTGCCTTAAGTGACGTTATGCCCGACATTGCTATGGCAACCTCCTCCATGGGACAGGTCCGCGTTCAGGAAGAGTTTGAGCTGGACATTGGTGATGGTAACAGTCACCATGGCACCATGTATATTTGATCACATTTACGACAGAAACGGTCGCCATATGGTTCCTTATATTTGATCACATCAGCAACAGATGCAGTTACCATGGTTCCTTATACATTTGACAAAACCGGAAAATGAAAACGGTTACTATGGTTTCTAGTATTTTTGATCACGTCAGGGGCGGAAACTGTCGTAAGGGTACCATGTATATCTAATAACATTGGAAACTGATTGTGAAGATTTGTTTTTTTAAGTTGAGAATATATGGCTATTGTTTGTAGACAGTAGATTAAAGAAGATAGCGGTACTTATTACCCTTGGCTGTTAATTTCACGTCTAGGTATAAAGTTGTACAAGTGTGACAGGTGATTGTATCTGTGTTAGGGTTGACACGTAACAGATGATGCTAATAGAAGGCGGTCAATATATCTCTGTGTTAATTACCGAGCAGGGTAGTTAATCAACAAAATTGAGTGTATATTTTCTCACCATTTGCAGGCAAGTTATTTTTATTAAACTCAAAGCGATGACAACATGAGTGTGAAATTGCCTTCCTTTCTTGAAATGTACTTTCTTTGGTAAGGACATGTATACCAGGTATTCATTTACTAGCTAAAATAATACGAAAAAAAGGTTACTCTGAAGGTGCTTTTTTGAGGTTTTAAACGCATACATACAAAGTTCTTGTTTCACAAATTAGCTGATTGAGTTAAGGTGTTTGTGATTTTTCTTTTTTTTTTTTTTTAATTTGATGATCGATTTTTTTGTTGTTATTTTTCTTTGTACCTTTATCTTTTAGTTTGTCTATTTCTTTCATACAAATTGAAAACATCAACAAATTTAATTTAAATTAGTTTAGAATTTCTTTGGAAGCCAGCACTTTTAGACTAGGTATGGATCACAGTTTAAGACTGAATGTAGAGGTAAATTGCATTTAGATATCTAATACAGAAATGTGTAATTCTCCCAAAAAATTGGACAATAAATGGCATATCTGTATCAAAAGCATGTCAAAAAAAATGTATAAAATGTGATGTATAATGTTGCAAACTTTTGACCTGATACCACCCCAGCTAGACTGAACAGATATGTCTAAAAGAATGAAAATGTCTTTGGGAAGCTAAATAACAATTAAATACCTATTTTATATCATGGGTATTTTGAAAACAACAAAATCTGTATGTTAAGTTATATATCTACATGTAGGATCTTACATGAGTTTCCATTTCATATGAGATTTATGAAACGAGTTTAAAAAAAAAATCAATTCAGCGAGCCTCTGGCGAGCTAAAATGAAAAATTTGTGATGAGTTTCATAAATTTCTTATGAAATGAAAACGAGTGTAAGATCATTTTTATCACATAATCAAGATTTGTGGCATTTATTTGTGTGAAACAACAATTTTCATGCAACCTTGAAATGTAAAAAGCTGCAATTTAGACTCCAGTGCGTAAGTCTGTGACGTCATGTACTTGTCCTAGGCGTTACGTCACAATTGAAACAATTGAAACTTACAACCAATCACAGGGCTGATAGGTCATATTACATGGGTTAATACGCCAAAAATTATGACATGTGTATATTCACTGGATAACACAGTACAGTATGTGATAAAAACCTCACAAGAGCACTGATGTTGATTCTGATGCATAGATATGAAAAGAGATTCAAAACACAACCTGTTCACAGAGCTAACTTGGAATGTATTTTTTTTTAAAAAATTTTTTTCATTCATAAAATTTGAGTCTAATACTAATTTGTTACTGTTGGAGTTAAACGACTGACATTACGCGGGTGGTTATTATTGTGTGTTATTGTCATGGTTAGAAAGTTGGTGATATTTGTGCCATATTGAAAAGCTGATCAAGGACATGTGTTGTGACCAAATATTAATTTATTATTATTATTTTAATTCTACATTGTGTTGTTATTTAAATATTATTAATATATTATGATCTACTGTTTTGTGTTCAACATTTCATGTCAGGTAAAGAAAACATTTTTATTATCTGTTTGTTGATCAATGGTTTCTATTATATATATATATATATACAAAATTATACATACACGTATATCCAAGAACTTAAATGTATCCGGTATCATCAGCTTATAAGGAAGTCTATTTTTGAATAGCAGTTGCTAGGCAGGTACATAAATGCTAGATTGAATATCAAATGCTTTAATTTCTTAGTAAATTTTTCTCAGCAGCTTTCCCTAGTTGGCACCAAAGTTAATTTCAGCCAAATATTGAAATTTTGAAAATACAGAATTTACTGAGGAAATATGAAAAGAGGTTTACAACATCTAAGAAAAGTACATCAAGTTTAGATTCTTAATACTGAACAAAAACAAAAAGTGAGAAAAGTAAGTTTATATCAGTACATATATTTCGATCATAACTATTTGACTACTTGGAAATTTGATTTTTTCAACATTGACGATGTTCATGTACTTATAATCATTAAATATACATTTGTACTGATAAAATGGCACATACCTGTGATTACATGTAGACTGTACAGTGCGAGTCTATTGATGGATTGTTTAGTTATTATTACGATTAGATCTAGAGCTGTACAGGTGGGGAGGCATGGAAGTCTAGTGGTAGGACGCCGGGCTTGTGACTGAAGGGTTGCGGGTTCTTTGAGCAAGATGCTTCATTCCGCTTGTTCCAGTCTACTCAGCTGTAAATGAGTACATGGTTGGGCAGTGCTAGAAATGTAGAATGCTATAGCTGTTAGCGCCAAAATGGCAGCACCAGCTGTATGCTCCCCAGGGAGTTGAGAAAGATGTTGGCTGGTTGCAAAGGCCCTATAACCATAGATAATAATTTGTGAACCGCTTTGAGACGACCTACAAACTAGATTGTGATAAAGCGGTATATAACAACCTCAAATTATTATTTTTATCATTATAATTGCAGGTTTTTTGTATGAATACAAAATTTATCATATTTTTGTCTACATGTGTGATAAAGCTGCTCATCAGCTTGTGATGGTTGTTTGTACTTAATTTTAATTTTCCTGTGTTTTGTCTGAAATCTATGTATTTGGCATTTTTTTTTTTACAGATTGAAAACTCTATATATGGGATAGTTTGTTTGGTAAATGTCCCTTCTTCACTTCAGTATAACAAATAAATGTTCACCTCTATTTTTTGTTCAAGTCAATTATAAATTTATATATCTACAATCTACATTAAGTTTAAATATAATAAAAACCAAAATAGCAATGTACTGGGTATATATGTACATTATATCAAGTCAAACAAACTTTTTTTTAATTATTAAGTAAGTTCAATTAAAAATTTCATTGTTCATTCGATAAAGCAAATGGATTCAGTTTTGAATTTACAGGTCCAGTAAAGTTTAGAAAGTGTATGTACACAATGAATGTTTTGTTACTATTTACAGGAAGGGTTCCTGGGTATTTTTAACAGTAAACAAACATTACTGTGTTTACCATGTTCATATATTACTGCTTTTCCTTGATATACCTGAAGAGAAGTGTTATTTAGGGCCTGGAGACTTACTGTAGGACAACTTGAAGCATTTATTGAGTTCTGTGTGTTAATGGTAGTTTTTCCCACCCCTGGTGTGAAAGGATCTCATAGTCTACACAATCCAGAAATAATGATAATTGTTCTTTCACGGTTTTTTTCCAAGTAGTTCTTAGTTTATAATTTGAAATCGGTCTAGTAGCTATAGTTTGAAGTTTGCAATTGGAATGCTATTTGAAGCTTTTATAAGAATACTTATTAGCATTTTCATGATGATGAATTTATTGTAGACAGTGATGCAAGTAATAAGATAATTTTCCTAATAGATATGATGCATCACAGCACAACACTATAGTGAGACTTCATCATTCTGCCACCATTGGTTCAAGAAAGTTTTGCATTTTAAAGGAGTTTTATCATTTAACGGAGTTTGGTGACATATTAAGGAAAAAGTATGAAGAGATTGTTCAGAAAACGGAAAAGGGGACTTAAAAATATGATTGTACACAGTTCACTGTACATCAATATCGTTCAAGGCTATATACTACATGTACTTATTTTGACTTTCTTAAAATAAGTAAGAATCACAGCAGTATATGCCAGTGATCAGAACCCTGATTATCCAAACTTTCCAATATCAGAACGTTCAGTCAAGTCCACCAATAATTAGTTTGGTTCAATACTATGAAACAGGTTATCCAAAATTTTCATGTAAAAGCTATTACTGTGTATTCGTTGGGTTTGGATAATATTGGCTTTCTACAGTATACATTTAGATATTGACAAAGAAATCTTCTCGGCCATCTGTATTGAGAGATGCCCAGTTAAAATTGATTGAAGAGACAACTTGGATATACCTAAATGAGCCTGTTCATATCAAATTCAAATTACAACAAAGTTATATTGTATCCTCGGTTAATATTTTCTACACAAACATTTAGCTGTAGCAAATTACGTCAAAAGGGACCCTTTTTTTTCCCCTTTTTTTTCTGAGGTTTCATTGAAAACCTGTTTTAGTATGTGTATTTAGTAAGTAACAACATGCACAACCACTGATATAGATGACATTTATTTATTGTTGTAAACGATACAACTAGATTTCTTCGACAGTTCTCTGCAATCACCGATTGTGGTGCGAGTACCTTGGTGGGGTGATACATTACATATATAATTATCCATGACATTGTTTGTGTTATATCCATGTTTTGAGTTCATATTTACAGGAAGAATAAATAATTTTTATAAAAGAGTATTTTCGGGGGAAAAAATATATAATGACAGTTAATGTGTTAAATAGTTGCGTTATTTATGTATGTTTTGAAATTTGTTATACTTGCATCATCAAAAGATTGCAATCATTTTGTTATTTGTATTTTTTTTGGCATCAGTAATTTACACAGTTGATGATGTGTTAAGCAACTTGTTGTAGACATTCAAGCTTCAATAATCCACTTATATAGTATACCGAGTAGAAAATCCTGATACCTATGTTACCAATGGAAATTTCAGCTGTATGTGTTCCTAGTTAAAATTGCAACATATAATAAAAAGGCTGAATTATTTTTTAAAAAATATGAAAAAAAAAATGAGAAACATGTCCCTCACAATAACGGTTTGATAATAATATCTCTATTTTCTTTGTTTTATCACTTTTTGTACCGGTCAGATTGACATTTTGTTCATGGCACAATGAGTGCAATTAAGCTGTCTGTGTCAAATATCATTGAGTAGCTTTGAAACAATCTCACAAGTGACTAAGATTGTTTAGAGAATAAATGACTGTTAGCTCAATGTAAAAAAATGAATATTGATTGGAAGATATATTTGAACAGTTTTATGAGCACAGATGTTATATATATGGTTTGCATACACATTTGTTTTCTGTATGCTTGTCGGGTTCATACATGACGATTACAAATACAACATTCAATATCACTGTATACTGTTGTGGGACAATCAGATCAGTGGATTGAGCTGGAGGCTGGATTAATGATGCTGTACCGTAGCTTGGAGAGAAATATTTTCATAGCTTTTCATAGTAAAGTACATATATTTGATCATTTTGTGATACCTTAGTTGTTAAAATTTTTATACTGTAGAAATTTGTAAAATAATTTCTATGAGAAATGGTATTAGGTACAGTGAAATCAAGGTTAGGTAATTCTATTTATATGGTCAATTTGAAAATGTTCCTCATTTTAGCTGATTTTGACTTTATATTTAAGATACTTGTCCATCTATTTTTGTAAAAAATATGAGAGATATTCATGTAGTTGATGGCTTTGCATAGGTTGACAGTGACAAGCCTGTGCTCGCAGCTGGTGAAAGCTTTCTCTGGTTAGTGTGCTACCATATTGCTTAATATTTTAATCAGAACTCAAGAAAATTGTAATTCACAGGGTACATTTTTCTTGGAAAATCATTATTTTTCAAAAAGATGTTTTTTATTATAAACATAGTCAGATTTGGAAATCAATTTCCTTTTATGGGAAAGTGTCTGGACTTTACACTTTTCCCTATAGCGATGTTATTTCATCCAAGGTTTTGCCCTATGCTTATATTCTATTATTGGCATGAAGGTGAATCTTTATTTCACTCAGTGTTTGCTGACAAATTTCCCAGGTGGACCATCTAACGCACTTTCAAATAGTTAAATTAAATGGGGAGTTTCCATAGGGATGATTGCTGTATCCTGTTCTGTAATCAGTTATCTTGATCATATTATACACATGTGAGAATTGTCTAGGCCATGCAAGCACTGCTATGATGATTCGTTTGTTTGGAACAGATATGGATTCACATTGCAAAATTTTAAGTACGTGTTGTATCAGATGTGTATACCTGTACCCCTGGGGTACAGAAGGAAGTTTGCTTTACATAGAGTTCTGTAGTCGCTTGAGATAGTTACACTGTGCATGAGAGTTGATGAGTGTTATGTATGTGGAAGTGAAAAGAGTGTTATGCATGTGGAAGTTAAAAAATGTGTAATTAATTTTGCTTAAACAGAATTATTTTCAGTATTGATAATGTTGAGACTGTATAAATCTGTTTGATATTGTCTACTTGTAGGCAAGATCTATTTGAGTCGACGTTGTATATTATCATCCATGACCCTTCCCTGTGTTTAAAATTGTTTGTTTTTCATCAATCTCCCCCCATGTGGTTCACCAATAGATATAAAATTTTATTACTTTAAATATTGACTTTGTTAAACGATTATCGAGTTGACTTGTACATATTTTTTTGCCTCTGGTTCCCCCTCTTGAGGAGCGGCGGCCATTGTGATAGCCGTATTGTCCTACGTGTGTGTAGTGCTTCTCATATCAAACTATTTATCATTACCCGACTCTCCTGTTGCATCACTAATGCATGTCACTCTATGTTATTTTTGTATAAATTTCTTCAATATTTAAAAGATGAATAAATTTACCTACTGTCAAATATGTAAATTGTACTGTCTTGTGATGTTGTGTTGGATTTGATTCATATGGTGATGTTTACTCTGTGACAGAGATAACTTTCTCTGTGGATGTAGGTGAAATATCAAGAAGGAAGTTATGCTCTGGAATTTGAATCCTAATTCTTCGGTCACCAAGCCGTCCACCTATCCACCCAGACAACGCTTTACATTAACACACCCCGTGATAGAAAGGACTGTAAAAGGAGCGTCAACTCTGTCATGGTTACGTACCGCTCAGAAGAAAATCTTACTTAAACCACAGAATATAATTCCCTGCTTCAACACACGCATACAAAAATAGGTTTCACGTGAACATTTCTGCATGTTGATGTCAACTCGAGAAGGAGTGTCAACAGGTTTTACTTGTCCGATTTCGTCTATAATGCAATATACCCAGGATCCCAGTATACATGTCTGTATTTCCTGACTCCAATGTCCAAACCACAGTCAACGATATGCATGATAAGTATGTGGTTGTGTCGGCAGACAGGGCATCCGCTATTTTGTATACTTTTTGCCCAAATAACCAGACTTGCTTGATAACCAAAGATGCAATACTTTTCAAAAGAAGAAATGCTTCTATATTACAATTTTTTAGCTTGCCTGTCCGGCGTCTGTCCTCCGTCCGTCCGTCCGTCCTCTATCAACCTTTCCTTGAAAAGACTTCTTCTGAAGAATGGACAGGCCTAGAATCATGATATTTGGCTGAAAGCTTCGTTGGTAAGAGCCAAACAGTTTGAGAACAAAAATTACCTTGACCTACTTTCAAGGTCACAGGGGTCAAATATGTAAAACACTTTAAACGACTTCTCCTGAAGAACTGAAAGTTCTGGAGTCTTAATATTTGACTGGTAGCTTCTTTTGGTCGAGCCCAATAGAGTTTCAGAACGAAAATAACCTTGACGTACTTTCAAGGTCATATGGGTCAAATATGTCAAACACATCAAACAACTTCTTCCGAATAATGGACAGGCCTAGATTCATGATATTTGGTTTAAAGCTGCATTCGTAAGAGCCCGACAAAGTCAGCGAGTGAAAATTACCTTGACTTTCTATCAAGGTCACTTGGTCAAATATGTGAAACACTTCAAACGACTTTTTCTGAAGAAATAAAAGGTATAGAATCTTAATATCTGGCTGGTATCTTTTTTGGATTGAGGTCGATGAAGTTTGTGAATGAAAATGACGCCGACCTACTTTCAAGGTCACAGGGGTCAAATATGTCAAAAACAACAAAGGACTTCTTCTGATTTTGCAGGTGGCTTCTTGGGATAGAGCTCATCAAAGTATGCGAATGAAATTAACCTCAACCTACTTTAAATGTCAACACCGAGGTCAACAACACTTCAAACGACTTTTTCTGAAGAACTAAAACGCATGGATTAATAAGATTTGGCTGGTAGCTGCTTGGGATAGAGCCAATAAAGTTTGAGAAGGAAAATGACTTCGAGCTACTTCAAACACTTCAAACAACCTCTTCTGAAGAACTGAAAAGCATAGAATCATAATAATATTTGGCTTGTAGCTTCAACGGATTGAGCTGACAATGTTTGCGATTGAAATATTTGTAGTACAGTATATATTCAATGAGAATAATTTGCTTTGACTGCTTAAATATCGAGGTGAGTGAAAGAGGCCCAGGCCCTCTGGGCCTCTTGTTTTCATATCTTCACAAGAATTCTTATAAACAACGCTTATCGCTAGCTCTTCTAGTTACTCAACAAAACCAATATACAGACTTCTGGCTACTATTCTTATTATCATTAAATCACTACAGAAGTGGAATTAATCGAACGAAGATTTTTGGAAAAAAAATGAAAAAATATGGACAATCTTGAATATCCTTACATAAAATATTAATATTTGGTGTTCACTGAACACTACCATACCTCATATAAAAGTGAATGGAACGCTTTTTTTTTTGTCTCAATATGGAGCGTTCTTTTAAAAAAAATGTAAACGGCGTTATAAATTTTGTTCTCGAAAGATTGAATTCCTAATAAATGACAATTTTTTGTTGGATTTCGATGGCACGGTCTTTGACTTTCATTTGTGGTGTTACGACGATGTGTATTCTTTCAATAACAAGAGCTTCATCGACCGTTTTGATCGCATTTACCCTGGTGCACTTGAAATGCAGGATACTACATACCCATTCACATCAGCCGCTTAAATTACCTTCAGATTTTCTTTAAAACATGAAATACGTGACGATTTCATTTTCTTATCGTGAGCTTACCATTTCTTGGTTATAATAGCCCGACGATATTACATTTCTCAGTTGATTCGATATTAAAGGGTTTGCCCGAAATACTACGATTTCCATGACAGCAGTAGAATGCTGACGGACAATCTTGCAGGTTCCGGTTGATTAGGATCGCGGTTGCGCAAGTTTTATGATGGTCCGAAATAACAATATCCTTTTAAATTTCGATGGTCGGAGATACCCCATCTTCTTTTTTAAAGGAGCTAGTTATATCGGACTAGTTTTATGGTCGATATCGGTATATATACAGGTATTAGGAATATATTAAAACAATCATTATTGTGTTTCGTGGGTTTTACTGTCAAGGCCCCCAGTTCTCACCGCTGTTGCATCACTTTGATTTGACCCGACGAATAACGCTCGCAATTCCAGAATTTGTATTTTTTTTTATTGATTTCCGTGTAAATCTGCCCTTTGTTGACATTTAGTTATAGTTTTTTGGGGGGTTTTCAATGCGATTTCCCTTCGGTATTCTGGAGGGGCGAACGTTCCTCCTCTCCTCAATTTAATTCATAAACTGTATTCAGATCTAGATCCGGGTACAAGTATAAGTCACACATGACGAACACTCCTGCTGTTTATCGTTCAGTTTATGGCCGTGTATGTATATATACGTTGGAATACATATACTTGTTATCATCTGATAACGACTCTTTGTGTCACGAATATCTTTAAATCATTGTCACGCAAGACTAAATACTAAAGTTTGATGCAAAACATGGACATAAGAAGTCTTAAAAATATATTAAAAAAGTATGTCGGACAGACCACTGAAAGTAACTGGATTTTGTTCATTAAAATGGAAGGAAATGTTTAGATACAATGTACATCAACAAAACACGAGGCAAGCTAGCGAGTCGGATAACATCTGTCATATCTTGGTCACCGTACTTGTACCCTGTCGTTGCTGATAAGTATCAACGACCTTGACATCCACGAACGCTGTTGTCGTCAGCTCGCAGTCATGGAGGTAATTAATAATATATTCTGTAACAAGAGTCAATTGTGTTTTTTAAAGTACTACCGTGTAAAGTAAGGCTTATTATTTTCACCTATAAGCTAACTTGTCAGGTAGCAATTCCGGATTTTAAACTATACGATATGCCATGAACTTTTGTGGTAAGTTAACATTTTTTTCAGTGTGACGATAGCATGATCAACGTGCACCTTCCGCATTGCACGTGCAGTATCTAGGGATTGTTGTTTCAGAATAGGTATATTTATGAGTCAGTCATCACACATGGGGGCAGCTAACATCAGCATCAGGTACACATAAAAAAATGCGAAACTACGATAAGATATTGTCGGTTAAATTCATGTGTACACTGTGTAGAACGATTTCTATGGAACAGTGGATAAGCCAAAACGCGCCTATACGAGCTTATCATGTAGTAAACGCTACGCGCTTATACATAGTAAAAGTTGTCGTAAATCGCTACTGCAGTGATATTATATAATAACCCCAAGACACTAATATACTGCAAATCAAGTACTTTTCGCGAGCATACACTTTGGATGCTTGTTCTCTTCGAAACATTTATTTTTCATGGATTTAAAAAAGCAAAAGGAACGACAAATCATGATGTATTTTCCCCTTAATTGTGACGGAATAAATGATTTCAAGATATATTTGAGTTTGTGATCGTTTCTTATAGATCGCGAAATAGTACGAAAATATTATCCTGAGGAAATACTGGTGATTACTCATGCTTTAAACTGAAAACACACCCACCCTTCCATTATCCGGCATAGCACTGACGTGTGTAACGTATATCAAGTCTTATTCGAACTTTAGGCCATTGGCCCATCATATCAGGAAGTATGTTGTGTTCAGACGTTTCCAGCCTACTGTAGAATGGAAACAATGAACCACCATCTTTTCATTTCTTTATCTTAGCTACTCTTCCTTTTTAGGAATTGATTTTGCCCGTCAATACCCAAAAACTACAAACATTACATTGAATCTTGATCTGTATGTATAATCTGTTTGTTGTTGGGATTACATTTCGTCAATATGATGGCAATTTGTGATACCGTCCCGACGAACGTGCACTATGTAATTTAAATTTCAGAAAAACAGAACCTAGTGTCATTTCAAAGACTAATAAAAGTAATCTCTGTATTGACCTAGGGAATATATCTACCTTGAATGAACAGCAATCTATTAATATGTTTTAAGATATTATTTTGATAATGTTCTCAATCAATGTTGCTTTGTCAATTTACAGAAGCAATAATGGATTCTGTTATTGGTTAGAGACGCGCTTCGTTTCGAGTGTTAACGTTCCCCATGTTTGGCTTGTATGGATTTCTCTATAGATTAGCGGTAGAGCATAGATCTGTAAGGTCTGTGTCCGCTGGCATATCGTTGATTGAACTTGTTCTCCATTACTTGTTAATTGATGTTGTTGTGCCTTTTGATAATTGAGGCATTGCAGGAATCTCTAACTGTATTGATATCATATATATGTTCCCTCTCCATTTTCATTGCTTTAAATATAATTATTTATTGTTATAGAACTTGATAAATGCATAAACATCTACCTGATTTGTGTTTCAGTGCGAATGGATCAAAATAGAAGCTAAGGGGGAAGTGCCCCTTGGTAGAAGCAGTCATTCAACCGTGGTGATCGGGAGAAAGGCGTTTGTATTTGGCGGTGAAAACACTCCAAGGGTACCGATCAGTAACATTGTCCACTGCCTGAACATGGACACGAAGACGTGGTCAGAACTGACCACGTCAGGCGATGTCCCAATACCGCTTAACGCCCACAGCGCCGCCGCAGTGGGTCACGTGATGTACGTGTTTGGAGGAAGAACCGGAATCACTATGGGGGAGGGTAGTCTCAATGACCTGTATGCCTTTGACACCAGCAACAACGTGTGGTCTCTTTTGAAAACCTCTGGTGACGTACCTGCAGCTAGAAGCTTCCATGCCATGACAGCAAATGCAGGTCGTCTTTACGTGTTTGGTGGTTGTGGAGTAGAAGGCCGCATGAACGACTTCCATTCGTATGATATAGCCACCAACACATGGGAGAAACAACCAACCAATGACGACATTGAAGGACGAGGTGGGGCAGGTCTGATTGCTGTTGGGAATGATGTGTTTGTCGTCGGAGGTTTTGCAGGCCGAGAGATGAACGACGTCCATAGGTACGACACCGTTAACAAGACATGGTCTAGACTGATGACCGACAAAGAACTTCCTCCAAGGTCTGTATTTGGAATCACCTCAATATCTACTTTTATCCTTGTTTGGTTCGGGGAGGTAGATCCCTCCGACTTGGGACATTCAGGAGCCGGAGGGTTTTCTAAAGACGGTTATGTAATGAACACTGTTAGCAAAACCGGATGGGAGTTGATGACATGCGCAAGCGAAACACCGGAAGCAAGAGGTTGGATGAATGTTTCGCCCTGTAATTGGAATGGCCGAGACGGAATGTTTTTATTTGGAGGCAACAACGTTGACAACGAGAGGTTAAATGATTGTTATTTCCTATCTATAAAGTTGTAACATTCATCCAGTGGTTTAATTGTGGAATCATGGGAACTCTTATAATCAGAAACAAGGAATACGCCGGGGAAGATGTTTACTCGTTCAAATGACGTTTTTTAAATGGGTCCAATGTAATGAAACATTGCACTGGTTCTATATATCGCCATATAAGTCGATATTAATTGATATGTATTTTTAAACAGATTTCGTTTCATATCACAGTTAGAAAACAAGTGTAAAAATCTTAATTCTTTCACGTGAAAGGGAAATAAGATTAAGATCACTCTACTGGTAGTTTATGATAATATATTGCCAATATATTGTTCCGGGGCTTTTCTGGCTGATTAGAAGGCACACAATATAACTATGTTCATGTATAGATAGATGGTGCACTGCCATCTTTGAATTTGTGACGTCATATCAATTGTTCTAACATCATGCGACATGTTATTATCCTTTGCGCAAATTTGGCATCATATGAAACTCGTGTAAATGTAGTAAGACGTGGTTTTGTCGTAGACGTAAATAAACAGAATATTCTCTATAGTCGGCTTCGTGAAAACAGGGTTCGACATTGCCCATGCTATCGCCAAAACTTTCCCGTCCTATGTATATTTTCCCCAATTGTACACAACGAAAAGAGTACAGGACGAATGGAATAGAAACACAGCGAGAGGAATAGATGTACAGCGAAACGCATAGATACACGGCGATTGGAATAATGGTATTACACGGGATGATGGGAACACAAACATCGTATTCATAATTTTATCCAAGGCTTCTGCAGTTAAAATAAAAATATTTGTTTCGAAAGGATGTTGTTCTAAATTGTATTTGAGTGTATGTTTTTTTTATATTCATATAAGCGTTTGGCGTAAGCCAATTAAATGACCATGCTTTTACTGCAAATTTTCTAAACTCTGTGTGTTTTGTTACACGTCATGTGTAGATATCAATTTCCATTTGTGATGCCTAAATATTTTTTTTGTATTTAGGAGTTTGTATGAGTTTCTTATATGATATTGTTTAAACGAGTCTGGAAGTTTCTTATTTAGACTGACTTTGCAAAGCTGAACAGCAGCCTTTGTGATGAGTCTCGTAAGTCCAATACAGAAAAGAAACGAATTCAGGGTCCTTAAAGTATTTTCACATTACCAAGAATTCATGCGCGTATTACCTTTAAACAGATTTTCACATAAGAGACGTGTTGCAATTCGACGTCACACTGTTTTGACGTCATGGCCGTAACAACTGAATACAGAACTATTTATCAACGTAATATCAAAGTTTTACGTAATACACAAACAATGTAGGGATGACCGGTCACGAAACGTTGCGACACGTTTAAAACGTATATAATTTGTGTATAAAGTAAAATTTCGATTTTATATATTTCCAATCGGACGAATCTTATTGAAGATATTTGTCGGCGTGTGAATACATTTCATCAACTGTACAGATGTTTATGAAGATGCATACTTTCAGATTACTGATAAATCCTGTTACGTTGAAACGCAGTCCCTTGTGTTTTATACAACAGTGCATGTATTAAATAGAATATATGTTTCATGTTTACAAATGATGCATATGATGCTACGCTTGCTTGAACTACACAACTAATTGTATAAAAAAAACTTGTAACGCATCCTGTCATTTTACTGTAAATATTTTTATTTTGACGAGAGATCTTTTTTGTTTACGTTAAATCGCGAGGGGAAAGGTTGCGAATTTACATATTATGTGAAAATCTTCTTCAGACAAACACGTAGTTACCTTCGATGATATCTTTAAACACAATGTATCAATATACAAGTCGGCGTGTGTGAATTTTTGCCCATTAACATTTAGTTGTATTGTAAAATAATACCGACTAGGTCTTACATAAAACACCAGAACCGCAAGCCTTCACCATGTTTTTCACATGTATTAGATCACGGCTCTTTATATGATGTTCCGTGATTTGGATATAAATTTATGTGATCTGTTTGCATGCTGCGTAGGACCAGAGCAGTAATTCACCACTGTGTAATATATAATAGGATTTGACACGTGTCCGTTGGATAGCGCATTGCGACAAAGCACAATGCATCTAGTTGTATATCATTATCCCAAAAAAGGAAACGGAGAGTTTGAATTAGAATGAAATATGACACAAGTGATAGCCCGAAAGCCTTAATTTTTAACCCTAGCTAGAATACTCTACTTCCCTCTTTAGATATTTGATAAAAATATGTTAACAAACATATGAATTAGAATCTTTTATTAATAAATTAATATTTTTGTAGCGCGGATGAAAGCGAGAAGGGGATCCTAATATGTGTGTAAACTGAAGAAGCTGAAGAAACGCACGTGGTCCATAGATGTCCCCCTGTTATAGCTATACAGGTACATAATTACTTCAGGGAACGATATAAGTTTACGTTCTTTAAGTGAGAAAAGCGAGCGGAAAGAGTGCATGGCGATTAAAGCAAGGCGAGTTGTTCAAAATAACACCTGTATTCTTACTACCAAGAGAGGAAGTGTAACAATATTGGTTGTTATTGGAATTTTGTCGCAATGCGACACTTAGATAGATGACATATTGTGGATGTCATATATAAAGTGTCCAATACAACATCCGATCTTCTCATGGGTAGTCGTTATATAATGTACATGTATTACTTTTACCAGGAATGTAAATATTCATTAAATGTTTCTGAAATATCATGTTTGCAACGAAATTAGATATGTATATTATCTGTGTGGTTGATTATGACGTTTTTGCTTTTGTTTCGTGTGCATGATGTATAATAGTATTAAGAGTTAAAAAGGGATATATAGCTATAATAGCGTTGTCTCCATCTGTTACATGTAATATTAATCGCATTGCAGTTTTGGTAGTCTAACAGAATCGCTGATAGTCATCGTCGTATTCTGCCACTGAATCTCATTCGCAGTGGCTGACAGGTAAAACAAGATACCAAACACGTCATGGTCAAGGCGTTTTCCAATCATACGTTCTGAATTATTAATTCTTTCCTACAAACATTCGAACGTTAATATAACGCGTTATTCCGACTAGAAAAAACAGCTTGGAACATACGCATTCTCAACAACAATGGTAAGTAAATGACAAAGTAATTATTTTATGGATTTAATAACTTTATATTGATTAAATGAAATGTTTACATTGTAGCGAAAACTGATATCGATAATGAATTAAGTTCTCTTTTGATATACCAGTCATCTTACATTCACACGATGCATAGAGAGACTGACGTACATAAGGATTTTAAAGATAAACCCAAACCAGCTGACATGTTGTGATTAGCATCGTTTTTAACTAATGACTTGCTTAATGCTAGGCGTTATTTCGTTATCTTACACAATATTATCACAATATATGGCTACTACAATGTAAAATCATATTTCACACTCCAACGAACTATTGATATATTCCATTTGAACTTAAGAATCAATTTGTCTCGATAACAGTATCCGTAAAATAATAACTTTTCATCCTCTCTACAGTAAGCTGTCAGTAAGGAGAAGAAAAAACCTGCAATAACGTTTGCTTATATTGTGTAAAATAATTTTATATTCATAAATGGAGGACTTACTCAGATTAAAAATGTATTGACCTAATGCTAGTTTAAAGCAGTACTATGGTCATGTGGGATAATTTAAAATATATACTCAGTTATTAGAGATCGTTTTTCAAGAGATGTAGTCATAAATTCATATAACTTTTATGAGTATTTATTATTGTCATAATTTCAATGGATACATTGGAATAGCGTATAAGTGTAAATGTTAAACTGGATTTCAAGTTCAAACGAAACTTATAATCGTGACCGTCAATAGGAATGCAAAACCGCAAATAAATAAATCCACTTATGCCATGTCATTAAGTAAATACGTAGATGTTTACAAGATAAATCATCTTCTCTGACCAAAGTCCGCTCTAGGTTTTTGTATCAACTTGAATTGCTTAATGGCCCACGGTACTATTTATTACTGTAATGAGAGAGCGCTATAATTTTCACCTAGGAATAAATCTGCCATTTTTTATTTAGAATACGTCACCTAAAAAAATATCTGTCCCATGCAGTATGAGCCATATATTATATATTCACAAAACACGAATTCCTCCTAAAAAGCAATAAATCATGGTGTTTTCATAAAAAAAAATCTTTTTCATTTACATAACTTGATAATACATGTGAGACATACCTGTAAAGGGGTCATATCATAAGCATATGGCTTGACGAATTTGGATACCGATAATAAGTTAATATCATTTGTACATATTGTTAATATTTTTCAACTAAGGAGATTATCACAAATAATCTTTTTATGAAATCTTATATCTCGATATTTTTTATTTTTCATGGCCACAGTCAGTGACTATGTGTCAAGCATTGTATTCATCATGTAATACATTCAGACATCTAAAATCGTTGCTTTGCATAAACTGTTCAAAGAGCTATGGCGGAAAACTGCCCGTATTTCCCTAAGTCGGCATTTTTGAAAACTGAAAAAAATGTTGATGAGTAAATAATTTTTAATAGCAAAAATGCATGGAATAGATATAAAACCAATTGGGTATGAATTTTTGAACTGTTGAGATAATCGGTATTGTTAATATAATACTGCAAATATAGGCATATTCATTATATCTATGAAAATGACGGGGTTTCCCAGACTTAAAAAAATACTTTCAATACTTTCCAATCCGAGGACCAACTTTTGAATGAACTTTTTGATTCCGTGATGTAATATGCAAAAACAAATCATGTGGAAAAGTGCTCAAAATATTGAAAAACAGGGTTGATCAAGTTTCTCAAAACTGCGACAGATGTTCCATATTCGTCTATGTCCGATGTAGCCTAATGTGTAACACAGTTAGCTTGCCAAATATTTCACTAAGAACAATGACGTTATTTTGTTGAGAGATGGTGATGTTCAAATTGTGTTTTAGATTTTGGAGTAAATGTGTGCTTGTATTGTTCTTTTTAATTGATTTTATATAGTGTTAATTGTTCTGATATTACTTAAAACAACTGAGTCAAGTGATAAATCTATATTTTAAACGCATGTACTATCTGTGATAATTTTTTATTGATTGAAAATACAGTTATATGCATTGTGAGGAACTTCGGGGGCCCCAAAGCCCGGGTCCTATGACTGGACCAATAAATGCTTGATACATTCTCAAGAAAAAACCCCACAGTTAGCTTGTGACCAGAAGAAGTGACCGATGTAGGGTCGAATCCACTTTCAGATGTACTTTTTTTTTTTTAAATTTAGGCATGCGATCATTTTCCTTAATTAAGTGATAGATATTTTTCAAATCAATGAAACATTTTATTGATATTTTAATAACATACATATTGATTTTTCTTCTATTGAATCATGTCAACAAATTCCTGTACGCGTGTACAGTACAGCTACGCTTTGTAGATACGACATCATTTTAAATATTTATGAATTGTTTAACCCTCCAATTGGCACTAGTATTTCTAATTATTATTTTAACACAAACAAATGATGCCGAGGTAAACAATATATGAGATTGATGTGACAGAATAAAAAAAGACAAAGCACAAAAAATGAACTGTTTTATCGCAAAGATATTACCGAACATGCGGGAAAATTCATCGTCGAGGACAGTATCATGTGTTTTAAATGCAGGAAGACTACAGCACAAAGTAAGGAGCGCAATACACGTGTAAGACATGCTATTCGAAAACTATATGTTATTTTGCCATTCCAAGGTGCAGGAAGAACAAAATCAAGATGTGCACTTTTTAAGAAAAACCGATAACGGCATGACGTAGGCAGTAGTTATGAAAATCAAATCCTTTTAAACTCGTTGGTAATGGTTGTACGATCTTGTGTTTCATTTTGTCGAGTCTTTATCGTGAAACGCATGTATTAATAGCAATGGCCTTAAATTCGTCTGTTTACAATAATCTATTCTTAGACACGAGGTTCCAACGGATAGAGCTACCTGTATACAATTAAATACCCGAGAACGCTTCATAACAGTGCACGGTTGAATGCGCGCACTAGCGTTGGGGAAATAGGCATAGCAACCCGCCATGACTCTTTTCCCCTTTACATCCACAGTGTTGAAATCTATTTTAAGAAGCATGTTAAACTATGTTCAATGCTTTCTTTTGAAATATCTTTAACCATTATATAATTGCCACAAGTAAAATGCATTGGGAATATATACCGTTTAACGATGTCTTCTGGCTAAATTATGACTTGGGCCAATTTATCTCTTGTCAGTTCTAAAAAGGTGTGTTTAAAAGTCATGTAAAGTTTGTAACATTCCTATTACGTGCACCTAGTCCATGCATGTACATTAGCATTGTACCCATACCTTACTTAACGAGTGCGAACTTTGGCATGTACATGTATATGATATTATTCCGGTAATGATACAATAAATTAATAAAATATCGTTATGATACATGTAGTGATGATTAATGAAAACATAAGGTATACGTCCTATTGTATAATGTTGTTATGACTGCGGTTTTAAAGTCATACAGTATTACTATAATGAACACTTTGAGGCTGTTTCAAGATGTTTTTGTTACACCTTAGATATCATATACTAATAGTTTTGGTTGATATCGTTTTGTTCATTTGTCGCATGCTACTACATCGAGGTCACGTTTGAAATGGCTCCGCTCCACCAACTCACTTTTTAAACTAATTAAATTAACTAATAAAGGAACAGTAAAACAGGATCGTGAAACGTACTGACAGCAAACAAGATGGCACATTCACAGAGGGGCATTATAACGTGGCTTGTCAAAAAAAAAGATTTAATTTGCATTCAATATTACTAAGCTCCTCAAAGCTAATTACGTTTTCCTTTTTTACAGTCTGATCAATTGACAGAGGAGCAAATTGCAGGTAAATATATATTCAACAAGAATTCCCATGATATAGAAATGCTCCTTACACACCTGTTGATTTGGTATAAACGACAGTTCGTGGACTATTTGTTATTTTCGTGAAATAGATAATATGCATATATAAGTGTATTTTCCTCCTTTACTTATATGGACACATACGCTCATTGAACACAAACACTACCTGTTCGACCTATGGGATTTCACGAGTCGGCAAACACATCCACATATGACTCATTTATAAGATGATGGAAGGATATGGGATCCAAATATAGAGACCTGACCAAGTTTGTATTTGTGACATTCACAGATGCATTCATAATTCAAATATAAGTTACACGTGGGAATTCAGTCGTTCAAATGAAATTCAAAACCAACCTTTGTCTGAAATGTTCTTTTTATTCCAATCCATCCCTTAAACAGTTACTAATTCTGCCATTATTGCGTCACCCGACTGCTTTTGTCGGGTGAAATATGAGTTTATTATGATTTGTTGCTTGTATTTGTTATTGTTTTTCGATTATGTTGAATAATTCCTGGTAGGAGATAATAAACCAATGCATCCGTTATAATCGGGAGGAGGAGTTGTTATGATTTGTTTTGACTTGGAGTATTCTCCCTTGTATATAGAAGATGAGGCAACCAAGAGGAGTTTGTTTTCGCCGAAAGTAACTTCCTCAGTCAAGGTTTTCTTATACCGTGCGTCCTATACGATACATTGGACCCTCATTTCGAATCTCTATTTCTATAACCCCTTTAAGGCTACACTTTACTGTAGGCTTTGCATGGTAAAGATCTAAAGTTCGAGACTTTTTTTCCTTTATTATTCCTATTTTTAAGCGTTTAAATAAGAAAAAAATGCCATTCTGTAAAATGCATGGCAAAAAACGCAATTTTTATGGAATATTTATTTTAAAAAGGATTTAAATAAATATTTCACGACAGTAACAAAGGTATTAATGTAGTTTAATTTGCTGGTATCGTTTACCTTTAAGTAATTTTTACACATCCCAAACTCACAATTATATCATATCATTTCTGTTATTCCCCCCCCCCCCCCCCCCCGACACTGGAAATCGACTGCAAATAACTCAAATAGCATTGCCTAATCCAGACAGTCCATATTTAGGGATATTTGTAAGAAAACGATAGTGTTCTGTCTAACGAGGTATATCGTTAATGTGCTTAAGAGATATGAATATTATATAAAAGAATAACCTTATACATAGTATACACTTTTGTAAATATATTATGTTTATATTTGTTAGAGTTCAAAGAGGCATTCAGTCTGTTTGACAAGGACTCTGACGGAATCATCACAACCAAAGAGTTGGGGACAGTGATGAGGTCACTAGGGCAGAACCCGACAGAAGCTGAGGTACAGGACATGATCAACGAGGTGGACGAAGATGGTACGTATTTAATATCATATTATCCGTATAAACCCTTCATTTTCAAAGTTTATAGAAGTACTATTTAATTTCAAATTAAATATTAGGTAAAGTGTGCATTATAAACATACAATTTTAAGAGACGAAACATAAAAATGCGGGTATGGAACAGATTTCATCTGTTTATGCAAAGAGACATATATAAACATGTAATTCAGTGAGTATATAAACCAGAAAACGTGTCGTCAAAGTAATTGTGTTAAACAAATATAAGACGATTATGTTAATAAGTCAATTTCACTTTCAAGAAAACGGCACAATAGATTTCCCAGAATTCCTCGTAATGATGGCACGGAAGATGAAAAATACCGAATCTAACGAAGAGATTCGAGAGGCGTTCCGGGTATTCGACAAGGACGGAAATGGTTGCATCAGCGCGGTGGAACTGCGTCATGTGATGACTAGCCTGGGCGAAAAGCTTACAGATACGGAAGTAGACGACATGATCCGAGAAGCCGACATAGATGGAGACGGACAGGTTAATTACGAAGGTTGGTAGCAAATTCGGAAAAGCTACAGGGTGTTTTGAAAAATGTACGTAACTTCCGCCAACCGTAATATTTTCGCCCTGTCAGTTTTTATCAAGTTATGGGGTTTTACCGCTCTGTCTTGTATCTCCAATGAAGAAGAGTTCCACTTGTCAGCAATTTATCTGACCTGGATCTGCTAGTGCAGATTTATTATAGCACATATCTATATACGAAATATATATCTGTATTATAATTTACATTTTTTTTCATTTAAAATACCTTTGCCATAGGGACTCGATCCCCGGACCTCTTGATTATTGGCCATGTACTTGTTCAATGTTCTACATGAAAACATTTCCTTTGTTCGTATTCTGCAGTAGTTTCCTGCCTTTTGAGTTCGATTTGCAGATTTTTGTTTATTTGGAATGTATAGTTTGCAAAATTCAGTTTTATGTAACAGCATATATAAGTTCTATTTAAGTGTCTTTGTATGATAAGTGTACTTTTCTATATGTGATACTTTCACCATTTCAGAATTCGTCACAATGATGACACAGAAGAAATGATGGCCATCTGTTATCCGACAAAAATGGACATTTCATTTACTTAATTATTTCCAAATACACTGTACATTTTATTCATGATTTTTATTTCAACGACATCTTCTGTTTCTTATAAATATGATATTAAACTTGATGTGATGTTCAGTTTTTAATAAAAAAAAAAAGGATCATTAATGCAACAACATTTCATATAACACAGGCACTTGCGTTTCGCCTTAAACATAAATCCATTGTAAATAGAACACTAGGTAAAGAACGATCGGTTAAACTCGATTGCCTGTGTTGATAACAACGAAAGTTATTATAAAAAGAAAACAGACGTGGAAATGTACGAACGACAACATCGAAATACCCGATAACACATCAAGGGTCTTGTTGGTGTTTAACCAAAGGACGTGACGGATGCTAACATGGTAATACTTCATGACACATTACGGGTGGCATATTGTTCACATTGTGTGGCTGAATGATAATTATTACATCATGACAAAATGGCATTATTTTACAATATAAGACAATATTTTACTCACTGATAACATTAAAGTATTTCCATAGCACATTTGAGGGTCGAAGTGGTATGGAGCAATAGCAAGTAAGTAAATGAAGATATTGTAACTCTCAAGATTTAAACAATTCTTACAGATGCGGAACAATTAAAAGCAATTGCTAAGTTAACTGAATCTAGGCGGTATATTTCGTATTTATTAAATTTTGTTAAAATAAAAGATATTGTTTTCTGGAATGTTGAATGACAAACACTTATACACACATGCACACCATGACACATTTATTTATACCCTGTAGAATATTCTGTGTAGCAGGAGAGAGGAAATGCCAAGTGGACAGGCTGGGATTCGAGCCCGGAATCTACGAACATTTTGACGGACTCTCTGACCAATTAAGCTACTTGATATCTGGCAGTCATCGGAACCAGACCCGCTACATATCTTCCTCCTTTTCCAAAGTCTTCGCCTCCGAAAACAACATTGTTTAGAAACTTCCTTCGGATATACCCTTGTCAGGCGTACACACAAAACTTGAGACAAGGTTATGTCACATGCACCAATGTAAAATGAAAGGGAAAATGCTACTGGCCCAGATCATGATTCGAAACCGAGACTTACAAACTTTAGACGGGAACTCTAACATCTTTATCCCTTAAGCTAAATGGTCACCGGCAGACACCCTGCCTCATCCCGCTATGATTTCATATTATGTTTTTGCGAAAATACTTGTTGTAAGTCGGTCTCGAATTCAAGTGTCAAGCAAGAAAGTATTTATATAAAACGTAAGACATTCAAGCTGGCAGATGGGAAAATACTTTCCCTTGTTAAGACTTTAAAAATCATATACAAGGTGTACACTCGAGCTGTTGCAGCCAGACAGCTATTTCCTATATTACAATGTTGAGTTGTAATTGATAAATAATTTATGTTCGTTTGAACTGGTGAAATTACTGAATAAACAGTAGAGGTGTTCCTAGTAAGGCTGACTTCATCCGAAAGTTTGGCTACCGTACAACAGAACGCTTTCGCGTGCAATACTTATTTGCTATTAAAGTTTTTTTTATTTTTTTTTATTTATGTTGCCCGTACAAATTGTTTCGATAAAATCGTAGGCTACGGCAACATGCCAACATTTCTGAACAGATGTTTGCTTTATCACTATGCCAATGTACACATGAAGATCTCAATATTAGCGTCAACGTAGCACTTAACTCGACAACGGAATACGTATGTACTACATAGAGATATGTACCGTTAGTTGTTGTCAAAACACGTCTGGGAAAACAAATCGCTTTCTCGAATGAACATACTGTGCGAAATTGAATTGGAAATTCAATTAGTATCTAATATAGAAATCTGTATATTATGATAAGAGATATCGATTCTGGTAGTTTTCTGTTTAGACTTGGTTTATTATTCTTTCAATCGATGTCTACTCCTGTCATCATTAAGGTCCATGTAGTGTACACAAACTGTGTGTTATAAGCAAAGCTATTGGAACAGGTGGCGGTTGTCCCAGTAGGATGTTTTTTTCCGACCCCATTTCAAGAGTAACAACCATGCAGATCTTAAAACTTGCTCAATACATGATCAAGCTGACGTTTTATTCATTGTGTTTGATGCCATTTCTACGTGTTTTTTTTGTGTGTTTTTGTTTGTTTGTATAAAACTGCAACCTTATTTCTGTTTCTTTTACGATTACTGTGCCAGAAGAATTTGCTTTCGTCTATTCTTTGGGATTCTAATATATTCTGTTTAAATAAAACTGATTAATATAAGATGAAGAAAACGTTGCAAATTATAGGTGGTCGACTGTGACATGAAAAAAATAGCAAAGCATCTGAACAACACAATTTGGGATCGAATTGATAGTAATGCAAGAAAAACAACGATACACTACACCAGAAGAGAGAAAAGTAATATCCTATAACAACACCCCTAAGGACCCCCCCCCC